TTATAGCATTTTATAATAACTATACTTAACATAGAAGTCAATTATTAATAATCTAACATTTCATAAAAGTTGATAAAAAGGTTATCTCATTTGAATGGTCAATAGAAATTGCCATAAAGGGAAAGGTATGTTAAAGTTAACTCATAAAATTAATACAGTAAAATCCCTGAGTTGTATAATCAATGTATTAATCTAATGAATGTATGATAGGTGGCATGCATTTATAAAAAACCCTTATATAAAAACAAACCTTTCATATATTTATAGTTAATATCATGCAACACATATTAAAACATATTGATATATAAGCAAGGCAACTACAGATAGGGCCAATACAAACCTTATACGTCTTATCCTCATCGGTTAGGGCGAACTGTTTGAGCTCAAAGTCGCCGTCGTGTCCGTCGTCGTAACTATAGGCGCGTCGCGAGAAGTCGGCGCCGCCTATCGGCAAACGATTCAGATTATACTCAACGCCTTTGGCCGAGAAGTAGTCGTCGATGATATGCTTCTGGAGGGCCTCGGGTAGGGTAGAGATCGTATAGCCGGTGGCGTCCGTGAAGGAGCCGCCGAAGCCGACAATCTTCTGGACATGTTTGGTCCGATCGATGGTCAGGTTCTGCACTTTGGTCGGGTGCTCACTGTGATGGTCGCCGAACTTGAGGTCTGTCCGCTTGAATCGGTCGCCGCCGAGCGACGTCTCGAATAGGGTCACCACACCGGCCGCTGTTTTGACTACAGGATCCAGGTCATCGCAGTAGGTGCTGTCGCATACGCACACTACAGACCCCTTCCCGAAGTCCTTGCCTTTGCACGGGTTGGCGCCGTACGCTATATTTCCGCGGTGGGTGGGGGTAAAGAAATTAATGTTTTAAATGGGGTTGTCTACTTATGTGTTTGTATTCTATAAGATCGTCTACGTGCATAAAATGGTTATGTATTTTTCAATTCAAACTGTATACATAACATAAACATTGCATTTATAGTATCTAATATTGTTTATTACTTATGTTATGTATACAGTTTCCATTAAAAATACATAACCCTTTTAAGCACCCAGTGGATCATAAGGTCTAATCAGCGATAGTGTCACCGGGGTTAAAAGTAAATAACTGTATTTTTGTAGATTTTCACTACTGTTCACTTCATCATGCTCGTTGTACAGCACGATTCAGTACAAGTATCTACGTAAATACTTTTTTAAAATCCCGGGACATTTTCGCTGATACAACCAGGGTCTAGCTGTTTGTCGTACCCAATATGGCTGAACTCAGGACCAGTATTGCCGTAAATAGGTAACGCATGATGTCGGCCGGGGATGTATAACTACTAACCGAAAAAACTAGAAATTGTTTCTCTCCTCTTGTATTTATAGTTTTGAGGTTTTTGTTGCGAAATTATCTTATCAGGGTAGATGGCAAATAGAAAACACACCTTTCCATTCACATCGCCCGCTAGGGTAGTAACAGGTGAACTGTACTTTCTATCTACCTGTACAATAATGGTCTAGTATACTGACTACTATCACTTATGGTTAAGGGAAAGTACTTTGCTTACAAAAACGACTTGTACCAATTATCATAATTTATCTATAAGTGCTTATAATCAATGCTTTATATGTTATAGTGATAAAAAGGAGAAGTTCTAATTCAGAAACTTTCATATCCTGTAAATTGTTATTGTTACTAATGCTTTAATACATTTTGATATCATATTTGCCCTAAAAATTATAATTGAATTGCCGCAAACATCATCAAGGATATTGGTGTTAAAATATATTATCTTTTGAGTACAACTTACTAGTTAATAATAGTTTGATCAAAATATTTAAATATATATATATATATATTTGTTTGCGTGCTATACTACGCTAAGGTCTTACGCTATGCGAACTGTAAGAGCTATTAAAGTAATTACCAAGAACATTACAATTTTTGAAATTAGTTTATTTAATTATCAAATTAAATATTATCTTGAAACTAGTCTGTTAATTTAGTCTATTATATTATTTATGATCATGTATTTATAAATATATATTTATCCAATGAGCATATGCATAAATTTTAATATGCAATAATTGACCAAAATAATATTTTTTACATTATTGATATGCATTATTACATACATGTATATTGTTAAGTACATTTATATACTATCGTAAAAATTATTAGAAGTTTACTTTCATAATTTTAATAGAATACTAAATAATCTATCTAATTGTGTTTCATACTTTACCCCATAGGGTTACCCTGTTCGTTACGACACATACAGTACGTAAAAATTGGTGCAAACCCCAAAAGATCTAAAAACCCAAAATGCCTAAACCTAAAAAACTAAAACAGAAAAGGCCTGTACTCAAATAACTAAATGACCAGTGGACATATTTTTAATTTGATTAATAAAATATACGTGTCTTAACCTAGCCTAACCTAAATTACGGTTTTAAGAAGTGTTATCATTTTTAGGTTTTAATATACAGGTCGATAGTTTTTATTATCAACCTTATATGATAACAATTATGTTATATTGTATTATATAACTTATTTAACTGATTAATAACTACTACACAATCATGGAATAAACTATCTGTACGCTCTAGAAATTAATTACTCCAAAACGGATAATATAAAATTAATCATCTCTTAACTAATTTCTAAACTATAAATCAAAACTAATTTCTACATATTCCCTTTAAATGGATTAATTTTATCATGGTTACTTTAGGAATAAATTGAGTTCACAGACACCAGGTTTGTATTATGCATTTTCTATGACCAAATCTAATGTATTTCAATGTAAAAATCTCTTTTTTGCAACTTAAATGGCGCAATTACCATGGTAGATTTTTGATTAATAAAAAATATTTTTACTAACCGGGAAGTATGGGCTATAAAACTGTGAAGAGAGGATTAGGATTGGATTATCCGTTTTCGAGTAATTAATTTTTATCGGAAAAAAGTTGTTACCTCCACCGGTTTATCTGTCAAACACTACAATATATTCAATATAACTTTAAATATATGAATATTTAAATACTATATCAATTAAGTAAATGAAAACATGAACAAACCAACAGTAATTCCACGCTAAATATGAACAATAAATAATTAGAATACTGCTACTTTAAATAATATGTAAAAGTTTTTAAAAATAGCAATAGATTAAGGGATTAACTTTTTCATCCTGACGCGCCCCGATATTGGGAGAGAGAGCTAATTATATATGTAATTATTATTAAATATTAAATTATTATTAATGTTTTACAAAGTATTTAATGTAGTTTAAAGTAAAACCAGTTAATAATTTACTAATTTTAATTGTAATCACATTTTAATAGCTCTTTCTCCCACTTAGGACCACAAAATTGGGAGAGAGCTATTATAATATGATTACAATTATAATTAGTAAATTATTAACTGGTTTTACTTTAAACTACATCAAATACTTTGTAAAAAATTAATAATAATTTAATATTTAATAATTACTCACATGCTTACTTAGACCAATTACTAACCTAACATAATCAAAATTAATTTTTAGGGACAAGGAATAACCAATAAATTAAATTATTTATTATAGTTTAATTTCCTAATAAATTGATTAATTAGAATTACAGTCTTAAATAATTAATGATATAATTATTCAAAACATTTAATCAAAATATTATTTTCAAACTAATCGTACTTTCAAATTATTCAAATTTTGGCATATTAAAAATTAATTTGAATTTTTGTGAATATTTTTGTAATTGTTATATTCATAATTAATAATTTCATTAATTACTAAATTGCTCTGTCACAATTTTTATTAATATAATTTTTAAAATATTTAACTTATTAAAATAAAATTTTTATGTTCAATTACAAAATACTTTATATGGTTAGAAAAATAAATATTTATTTTAAAAATAGTTATGAATTTATATAAAATTAATTCTTATTATATAAAAATGTATCATAAAAATAGTTTTAAAACTTAATTATTTAAACAGGGTCCGCCGCTGTATCATAATTTATATTATCAATATCACTTTTATCATTTAGCATTTGTTCACTTGTATTAAAACTAATACCAGGTTCACTATTTATAGTAACTTTGTTTCGTAATTTGCTAGCTCGTTTAGCTACCTCCCTGGCCGTTTTCAAGGCACTGTACCGGGGCGTACGTATCACTGGTTTGCCACTCGGTCCGTACTTAATGTTAATTCCTTGATTGGTCTTGGTCACTATAAATACAAAGCAAATGAATTAAAATTTTAAAATTAATGAATCTATAGTTAATTAATTACCTTTAATATTAGAACTAGCAATGTCATTTCTGTAATTATTATTATAAATATCACTTCTGTTTGTCTCCGGGCTAATTGCACCTTGATCATTACTGGATGATTGTAGGCTGACCAGCTTAGGCAATAAGCACACCCCTCCGTAACTCCTATATTGAGTGGCCAGGGAGTGCGCCACCGGCACCCACTCACCGCTATATAACTTATCTTGATCAAGCTCACTTTGTTCAGGGAATTGAATCCCAATTTGTCGACAATTATTACCGAATTTAGCTAGCTTATTCACCAACAACAATTTCATATGATGTTCAAGGTGATCCACCAATTTATCCCGCTCATCGTACCGCACCCATTGACAAACCAGTTTCCGTAGCCACTGAGGTTTACCAAGCTCCAATGAGTCATCGAGCACCTGGGTCATCTTGTCAAACATTTGCTCCTCCATGTCCGCCAAATTACCCGCAATTTCCCGCTTAACACGCATTACTTCGCTAATCCCAATGTCGTACTCGTTGTCGACACCATTTTCCCGCAAAGTGTCCCGAAACAGCTCCCGAACCCTTCCCTCCGTATTGATCGGGTATTGAATTTGTTGACGCAATTTGTGTAACATCTCAACGATCTGATCCCTATCCACACCAGCCTCACGCTTAGCCTTTTCCAGGCACCGGTAGACTGAATCCACGATTATAACCACGGCTTGGAGTTTCAGTAATTCCCGCAATCGGGAGAAAACGGGAAAATATTCTCCGATTTCGTCGTAGCATTCGGTGAATAGGTCGGCAAACGTTTTTTCCCGACTCGCATCCCGGTGCTCATCAGCATCGTCTTCCATATCGCACGACATACCTGTCCTCACACGCATAGGGCAGTCGTGAAAATCGACGACCCGTCGGCCCCCGGGCTGTAGGCACTCGCTATACCAGAGATCCTCGGCCTCTATCCAGAAGCTAACCGTCTGTCCAAACGCCGACTCCGGACTCCTTTCCAGCACCAGATCCTCCCGGAGCTCATCAGGCAATACGTTTAAGAACCCATCCCTGGCCTCCCGGGTAGGGAACGGTTTATTAGACGATACCTCAGTAGCCATTGTAAGCATTTTTAGCATATAGTCGGCGTGCAGTAGAGTGGCCAAGTAGTTTTTGGTTTTATTAATTGCGCTAGGTGTATATTGCATTTGCTGGAACGGAAGGTGCTCAAACATACTGTCCCCCACTTGGTCTAAACTGAACACACTATGGGTTATGCCGTTTGTGAGCACCTCCTCAATGTCTGTAGTGTTAATAAGAGCTGGTAGGTCGGGATCGTTAGATAATTGTAGCTCGAAAGTACCTTGCTCGACATCGATAATAACCCCGGTAACTCCAGTGAATGTCTGGCCCGGTAGGTTGAGACTAGTGTTGTACCGGTCGATCCACCCGTTACTGTCCCGTCGGATACCTGTCCACCTCATTATGTTTTCAATACTGTAGACATCCCGGCCCTTTTGCTTTAGCAGTGATTTCATACAGTTTTCACGGTATTCCCCAAACTTAGACTCAGGGAACCAGCCTTTCCAACTGCCCTCAAATAAACAGTATTGACATTCATAGTACATAGGATGACCAGGTGCACTTTGTACGCAATGTTCGTAGTAGTTTTGCAAAAATTTATGGTTGACCATATTGATAAATAGTATATCGGCACTGGTATGTAGTTCCATATTAATGATCGGGCATACTTTTACAGATTTACACAATAAGTTATTAATTAGCGTAAATAAATTTTGATCATTTTCATTTATTAAAAGTTGTTCACTTTGTGGTCGACTAATTTGGTCCAGATCATATTTGTCACGTTTAGTTAATTTAATTTGTTTGGCTAGAGTTATATGTGCACGGTTGATTAAATAAAAACTCAATTGACAATAGTTGGTCACGCTAATTGGATCCATATACACTCTGGCAAAATACAGTACAATCTCGGTTAATTCACAAATACAGTTCCGATATGCGTATAAATTAGCCAGGTAACTGTCCACTTCATCATCAGTATAATCAAGCATATATTGCAATAAATAATAGCTGGCCATGCTTAAACTATTTATAATCACAATTGGGTAACCACATTCAATTGTCAAGTCAATATAAAGCATAGCTTTATCCAGTGCACTTTTATTATCATGGTACTTCGTACTATGAATAACTTTCTCATATTCAATTATTGTATTTAACACCGTGTTGCTTTTAAGCATATCCACGTACTTATGAGCACCGGGAGTGTGTAAGTCCTCAATCCGGATAAAACTTAACAAATGTTCAATGGCTGAATTAGCGTGGTTGTCCTTGAGTAAATAAATTACGGCATCAAAACAATCGGTAACGGGATATATGAACAGCGCCTCACGTAAACTCTCATAAGAGTTATGGTAATCCTGTTCGTAAAGTAGGGCACACCCTTTGAGCACCAGTAGCATAGCTCGTAAATTATCACCCATGTCATCCAACTGTCTATTACCGCTCAACTCCATGTACAGCCCGTTAATAGCCTTAGAGCACCGGTACCTTTGCATGTATATCGCGCTGTCCTTAAACCGGAAGTTGAATACCAGTGCCCGGAGTTCCTCGTAGTTCTGGTCATCGCACTTGAAATAAATTACGTCAACCAACTGTCCATTTTTGGCGCGAATTAATTGTGCAAGCTCACTATTATCATTCAACATGGCACGACACTCGAAGTACAAGTTCCTTGCTGCTAATTGTTCAAACATTAATTGTTGTATTTCTAATTCATCGCGGTAATAATATGCTGCACACACTATGGGTCCGAATAAGTCGCTAAATTTAGTATTACCATTGTCATTTTTAGTAGTGGCGGTAATAATAGTAGCCAGAGCAATTTTCAAAATCATATGTACCGCTTCGGGGCAAAATTTATTTACATTAAGTACGTATCGACAATATAGTAGGCATTCATCGTATTTGCGAAAATAAAACAATTTATGAGCACGCTCCAATATCACAGTGTTTAGGTTGCCAGGTTTCACATAGCATATTAGTGCTTGCTCATATTTTTGGTGGTTAAAATATTTATTTCCAACCGTTTCCCAGTCACTGGTGAATACCCGAAACTCGGTAAATATATACTTTCCTGAGTACAGGGGTTTCATATCCCATATATGATCCGGGATCAGTTTTTTGAGCTGGTTAGTAATTGTGTCTTGCTTGTTTTTGTCCAAAAACTCTGTATACACATTAGTGTAGCTATTGTTTGTGGTATTATTGTTGTCGTTATTTATGGCCATAATTTTATTTAACTTATCACGTAGGTCACTCCATTGTAGATTAATAAACTCTGAATTGTCCTTGATACTTATGTTTGGATACTCTCTGACCCAATCATCAATTTTCTTAATATAATGTTCCGATAATTTTTGGTCAGAATTTACACGTAATTTATTATCAATTACAGTCGCATTATTGTCAGGCACATTAGTATCAGGCTCATATTTATTAATCACATGTGGGTCATGTAGTGAGGCATCCGGGTGGGCTAGTAGTTTTAGGAGGTGCTCATTGCCAGGTGTTATGTCGGTTTGGCTGACCCGAGACAGTTGGCGACTAAACGTCCGTTTTATGCCATCTCTGGTGGACTTCCTATGATTGCCGAGAAATTTGTTAAAATCCGACTCAAACTCCTTGTACGCCATTTGTAACCTGGTGATTTTTAAAATAAATTAAAATTAAATAATTATTTAAAGTTTTATTTATAATATAAAATTAATTAACGATTTTAGGTGACAATATTATAAATATTATACTTATTGTTATAAACTAGATAAACTAATTTAAATATGTTATAAATAAATCATATATTATTATTTTTTAAAAATTACTTACTGCTATATTAATAATAAATATTATGCACTAAAAACTGTACTAAAATTAAATGGCGTTTTTATTTATTAATTTAAACTGAAAACTATAAATTTTGGATAGACAAATCACTATCAAATAACTACTTATAAAAACTTAAATATTGTTTTGCTTATACTGTATAACATTGAAATGTTTTCAATTTTAAATGATTTCAAAATCATAGCTCAATACGGAATACATAAAAACAATAATAATTATTATTAGATACATGTGGTTGTCATGTAACCCATAGTAATACAAGTGTTTATTAATTGCATTGCAATCGCTATATGACTAATGAATAGATAACATGGGTTTCATAGATTACAATAACTTTGAAGTTTATGAACTTATCTAAAATAATATTTTATTTAACTAATGCTATGTGTAGTATGTTTCATTAATTATGCAAATAATTATATACTTGTGTACAATATATTATATAAGTATTTTGTATATGCTTAATAAAATAATCTGTATTAAAAACCTTTTGAAAATATTTTTAATTTTTTGTTACTATGAGATGTTTGATATTTAAAAAATTATATTACTCTGTATTATAATAAAATTTAATTAGTAATATAAAGTATTATGTATGCAAAATTAATAGATAATTAAATATATTTAAACTCATTTTTAGTTACATTAAAGGTACACCATACAATATATTAATAAGCTAAAATTTAGATTGCCAATTATAAAGGTATTTTCAAAACAAACAACATTTATAAAAATATATTGGTAATATTAATTTTTATAAATAGTATTTTATATAGTACATTGTAGTTTTAAACACTTATTATAAAATTAGTATTAAATACAAAAAATACAATTACTTACCAAAAATATAAATTTTAAAATATTATAAACACATATATATTTTCATAAACGAATAGACATTTTGTTATAAAAATAATTTCACTTTTACTTTACAATCAAATGTTTGCACAGAATATAAAACACAATAAAAATGTGAAATAAAAATCTACAAAAAATAAATGTCTTTTTGTATTACATTTCTCATTAGTATACGACTCGCGAGTCTCTAATAATATCGCGATTACTATAACAACAAAGTTTTTGTTATGAATTCACTCAA